TTGTTGTATTTCTTTTTTTTTTAAGACAAAAAAAGCATATTTTCCACCACTTGAATTATGACAATTTTCGAAAAAATATAAATATGTTGACGACAAATATCGTCACTATACACGAATAAAGGCGCGAGCTCAAAACTTGACCGCGAAAATAGGCGCATAAAAAACTTCAGCGAAGAAAGACTTAACATAGCTGACGGCGAAGGAAGACGCGTTTAAATATGTGACGGCGAAGAAGGACGCGTAAACTTATTTTCGCGATCAACTATGTTTGCGGGTGTAACAGTATGTAGGTTCCCCATAGTGATTTGGGGAATGATGCTGAAGTGACAGTCCTTGGCCAAGTATAGGTTACGCGTCTTTCTTCGCTGAAGTTTTCTTAAGCGCCCTTTTTCATAAAATTTTATTTACGAGCAGGGTTGCCACTGACGAAAAAAAATATTTACCATCCACTAGAAAAAAAAATCTCCCAAATCTGGGAAATATCTACCAATAACTTTTTTATAATTATTTTAACAAAACCCATAGTTTTGATATTATTTTAATTAAAACTATAGTTTTTTGCTATTTTTCTTTAGTTATTTCAATAAGAATAAAAAATGGTTTTTAAGAACTTTTTATTTAACTACTTATAAGGTATTTGAGTCATATTATTGGCATATTCTCAGTTTCCTTCAACCAAAAGCGGGAGTTATGAAACTAAAGGCAACAATGAAGCTTCATTATTTGAAGAACTTCAACTCGAGTTATTATAGACAAATACTGTGACTCAAAAAAGTGATTTTTTTTTAATATTAGCAATATTTTTCGAGTAAAAATTTTTTATTGCTTTAACTAAATCTAAGTCGAGGATTCAAATTCCAAAAATTTTCGTCTAAATTTCGAATTCTTTACTCTGAATTTTTAGAACAATTTAAGGTATAGAGTTTTAAAGCAAATACTATTTGAGTATAGCCAACAATGTGCTGCTTAAAACTCCCGTTGATTTTTTTTATTTTTTTCCATTAATAAAAAATGGCGTTGATTAATTTTTTTGCGAACAATCATAGTGCGTATTTACATACCTGTCAATTTTTCTTTATATTTAAATAATCATTTAAAATATTTAGGCAATCAAAAGCTCCTCGGGATTCCAGTAAAATTAGTTTTGAATGGAGCGCGATATGTTCGCCTTATATCGATATACATTTATAAAAAGTATGCAAAGAAATTTATAATATATTTAAAGATAACAACGAAAAATAAATCGGGAACGGAAAGTTCATCAAAAATCAACCAAAATGAGAAAAAATTTACCTTTTTACCAACCCAAATTTTTTCTACCAATTTTGGTAACAATTTACCAAAGTGGCAACCCTGTTTACGAGCCTTTTTTCGCCGTCAAAACACTAGCGCGCCTTTATTCGTGTCTAGTGACCAATGGAAAAACTATTTGCCCAATGTGCCCGTCCATATTTTCTAGTACGTTAGTCGTTGGCCTTTATGTTCTACATGAAGTAGTTTCGCTGCCTTACTTATTTGCGTTGGTGAACATTTGTTGTTAAACATCTGGTTATCAAAATTTGACTCTGGTATGGCACTCAGTTTCTGTGACTTTTTGTTGGTGCAATATCAGAGTCAAAGGACACCATGGCATTTCTAATAATTAATCATCGACGAAAATCACATTACCTAAGATAAATGAACATAAATTAAGGACAAAAACTTGAACCAGACAGAACGAAAAATTACACTGAAGATAGGGTTGCCAGACGTACTGCTTTTGGGAGTAAACGTACTCCTTTTTAGTACAATGTACTCCCATGGACTCCCAAAAAAAAATATCTGGAAATGTACTCCTTTATTAGTTTTGTACTTCTTTTGTACTCCTTTTTCCAGCTATTAATATTTTATCATATACAGGGTGTAAAATAGTAACTTTTGCACAGTTTTTTTTTTAATAAAATTGGGCTTTATAGATTTTGCGAAAAAAGTAGCTCATTGTTAATTATACACAGATTTTACTTCAATTTTATTAATTTGTTTTTAAATTTTAACCTTCATTTGGGTTTACCGGCGATAAACACTTTGAGAGAAAAGCGCAAGTAAAAAAGTCGTTATTGTATAGTTTTTAAATTTAACCCTCATTTGGGTTTACCAATGGGTTTGGGAGAAAAGCACAAGCGGCACGCAAGTCTTCGTCGGCTACTTTATTACATACCTTCTGTAACCATAGGCTAATTTCCTCCCGCTAAGAGTGAATTCATTGGACCAACCCTATACAGCTTTTTTTCTTTATACAAAATCTAAGAAAAAATACACCTGGAAAAGAGGTGTGTGCCATATGTACTTATCTCCCAAAGCTGGAAAATGCAAATAAGGCTTAAAGTTTTAAAAGCAATTAATAAAATTAAAGTAAAATATTTACAAAGTTAACAAAAAAATACTTTGTTTAACAAAATCTATAAAGAACCCTTTAATTTTTCAAAAAAGCTTTCCGACACTTATTATTTTACGCCCTGTACTTTGATATTCATATTGTGGCAAACACTACTTAGTAAGCAAAGTTAAGTGTGATAGTGAAAAAGTGTAAGCAAGGTAGGTGCAGGGCGCTCGGATATAAAAATTAGAAAAATATTAAATTATTTATAAGGCTTAAATTAAAAAAAAGGGCCATATATTCAGGAAGAGTCTGGAATTCTTTCCTATAAGGGGATCATTGAAGAGGCGGTGAGTGAAGGGGCAGTGGGCGTGGCACCTCCAACCCCCACCTAGGCGCCCTATGGGTCCCAGGGACCCATTAGAAAAATCTCCAAAAATCACAATTTTCACTTGCGTCAACAGTATTTTTGCGTAGAATTCGGTTAGGGATTATAACCCCTACTACGTAGAATCCTCCTTTCTGTGTTGCCGAAGAAGAGAGGAGGAACCCCTCTCTCCGTCAAAAGTGTATAACATTTCTTGTGGATATAATTCCGGCTCGGTGTCCAAAGTATTTTTGCACTTAACTTCTTTCTGCGTAGGCGGCCTTCGGCCGTGCTTAGGGATTATAACCCTTACTAAGTAGAATTCTCCTTTCTGTGTTGCCGGGGAAGAGGGGCAGGCACCTCTTTTGTTATCAAGGGTATATAAAATGTCCCGTGCAAATGAATATTCAACCTTTTTCAAACGAAAAAACGCAAGTGAAAATTGTGACTTTTGGTCATTTGTCTAAGGGGTCCCTAAGGGAACCATAAGGGCCCTAGGTGGTCGGAAAAACAATTTTGTCAATGGCGGTTCATGCCCTCTCCAAAAAGGTCGGAAAAGGCGCCCCGTCCACTCCCCCTTCGACCTCCATCTCTTTAGCAACCACCCCTATAGGAAAGCCAACCCATATAGTTATTTATTTTTCACATTTATTGTTGTTTTGAAAAAGATTTCTAAGATATCTTTGTTTGTTTGTACCTAATTAATGGTAATTTGTAACAATAAATTGCACAAAAAATTTAAAAAAAATGTACTCCTTTCTTATGTCATGTACTGCTTTTTTTCTATCAAAAATATAAATGTACTCCTTTCTCCGTTTCAAAATCTGGCAACCCTAACTGAAGATGGCACAACGCCGAAACTGGTTTGTCTGCAAACCAAACTTGACAAGGGATGACGGAAATTCGTTCCAAACAGTGTTGCCGCGAGTCATTTTTAGTGGTAGCCAAATTCCTTTACAAAAAGGGCTAAAAAAGAGCTAAAAAAGTCACTGTGGCTAAAAATGGTAGCTAAAATTTTTTACTTACATATACATACTTAAGTATACATGCAAACATTTTCAATAAGTAATGGTATAGAAAAACAACGAACTCTGGAAAAAAAGCAAATATTTTATCCAACCAAAAACCTTTTTGTATAAAAGAGGAAATATACGACACCAGCTTGCTGGCTCCATCAAATGATGGTACCATCAGGTTCGAAGCATATAACTTACCAGCACGCTGGTACCATATTTATTTCATTACAAATGAGGTCGAGGAATGATCGAAATGATTACAGACGAAATTTCATAATTTTTCTACCATTTTGTTAAACATTGCTTTTTTTTAATTCACATCTGCAATATCGTGAACTTAATCTTCCACAAACACGGCTTTGAGTCATATAGTGCAAGAAATTTCCGCCAAAATAATTTTTACTTAGAAAATTTAGCTAATTTCACCACTCACGACCACGGTTGCCACAGGACAAAAAATTTTCTGACCAGAATTTACAAAAAAAGTTACCAAGTAAAAGACAACGTTTTATTATACAATAAACTGTAAAAGCAAACCTCGTTTATTTGCCATAATTAAGACTTGGGTACAATAAATAGTTTTATTAAAAGAAAACTAAACAAATGCATTTTACATATGGGGCTATTAGGGCCAGAGGAGCCTATCTACAACAAAATTTTTAGTAATATGAGAAAGGAGGATATATAGAAAATAAATGCTGTCTTTTACTAAAAAATTTGCCTCTACGTGATGCTACATATTATAGTAAAAGAAAATTAAAAGGGCGCGCCGCGGGCTATTACCTTTTTATATTCTGGTAATGATTTAAGGTGCACCTCAACTTTTTTTGAAATGTCAATTAAGCTACTCTGGCGTTCAAGGCCTCATATAATAATTAGATATATTTACATACATATATAAATAGATTTTTATTCAATCAAGAATATAACAAAAATTTGTGAAACAAAAAACAACACATAAATATTTTTGCAACGCACACGTTTAAAAATATACTTTTCATAAAGCGCGCTTTAAGCTCTTGACTTTTTAACGGGATCTTAGCCTCAGAACAAACAATTATTTAAAAAATCGACTTATGTTTAGGCCGCCGGCCTAAATTTGCTTGAACTTTTCGACCCACCATAATAGTTAACATACTTACGATATTATGGTTGCCGTCGAGGTGTTAATTACTATATTAAGAAAATACGCTATTATAATTTTCGTTAATTAAACAGTGCGAAAGGCAATCGTAAATAAAACCAAAAACGGTTTACTTACTCGTCTAGCAACTATCCGAGAAGGAAGACATCCAGCCACCAAGTTCCAGAAATTTATAATCAAGGTGACCTGAAATAGAAATATATATATATATATATAAATAGATGTACACCTTACATTATCAAATGAATAAACAACGTTGTTCTTATTAGTTATACTAATACCAAATTCTTTTAATTTCCTTCAACGTTATTATCGGTGCGAACGTGCAACCAAATCTTGCCACAAGCGTTGCGCCGATGACTAACTTAACTGCATATACCGAAGCGCTAAAGAGCCCAAATACACCGCAAAAACTGCTGTTCAAACCACCTTTTTTCATTTCCACTATATTTGGATCAAAGATCTGTCAATTAATACGGAACGTGTGCCATATTTCGTGATATCAATTCACGGCTCGGCATTTCGCGTTGCGTTTCGAACAAATTAGAAGTGGTATCACCATACATATAATAAAACATATAGATGATTTTCAATAAAATAACATTAAGATAAGATTTCCAGGCTTCATCTATTGGACTTTAAACCTCTCAACACAAAAACATGTAAAAACCGACGCGATAAATATTGAACATTTAGTATCCATCACTATTTTGAAATCCATCAATATGTATTACGATTCAAATATCACAATAAATATTGAACGTGTGACAGTCGCCCCACACTGTCATAAATAAACGAATAGACTGCCCAGCGATAATTTTCTTCGATATTTGGTTAGTTATATTTGCTGAGCGCTGATCAATGCAATTGTTTCTAGTAGTGTTGTCACCGCTACACATAACCACAGTACAGTTTATCAAATTAATCCAACTTTTTTAGTCTGACTTTATAAACGGCAAACTTACCAAAAGTTACCAAAATAAAAAAAAAGTTGCCAAGTTGCCAAGCACTCAAAAAGTTATCTATTTTGGTCACAAGTGACCAAATGTGGCAACCGTGCTCACGACACCACTAGCTGGTACAATCACACCACAAGAACATACGCAGTCAATCGACTTGATGGGCCATTTAACAAATGAAGCATATTAAGGGCCGTAAACTTATCTATTTTAAGCTATATGTGTATATATCAGTCGTTCTTAGTTTAAAAATTCATCTCTTACATAAATGAAAAAAAAATTAGATCAAATTAAGCATATACAAATTTTGCATGCCAAGTATAAGTAAATTCTCCAAACGGCTAAAAAAAAGGGCTAGGGGCAATTTTAAATTTATGTGGCCAAAAAAGTATGTGGTAGCTAAATCTAGCCACGAAAGGGCTAAAACGGCAACAATGGCTCCAAAATAAAACAATAGATATTATTTTAAAAATGATACACGCTAAAAAGAAGTGGCGCCTATGTTGTGACCTAAAAGTCGCCGCAATGTTTTGCGGTCTTCAAAGTGGCAATGTAAAATATATGTCCTTTATGTGCGATTAGAATACTCGATATACCGGGCAACAGTATGCCTTCCACGATTGAAAACAAAGAGTAGCAAGTTTGAAATGGCCAACATAATTCGTAAGCCTTCAGTGCCAATGACCCTGAACTGTACATTCGTTCCGATCCTACTGATGACGTTAGGCCAACATAGTTGCCATATATTCTTTTGTATAAAAGTATGGCCTCTTTATACAATGCACATTCACCATTTTTGTGTTCTAAATTTGGAAAATTTTCGATAGTGAAAACAAACAAAACCATCGATAGTATCGATAGAGCCATCGATAGTTTGCCACCACTACTGCTTTCTCTTTGACATATACATATGAAACAGTCAATGTTATGATAAAAACCTAGTAATGTAAAACCATCGAGAGGCAGTCTGACGTTTGCCAGCAATATAATTTAAAAATTCAAAACTCGAACTCACATACACATTCTCGTTTTCAATCTCAAACAACAACAATTTCATTATTTTTATTTTCAATTTTATATGATTTTGAAATGCTTGCAATCGTCAGAACAAAAATTAAGACCGACGAATTGAGAGAATGAATTTGCCTTGTAATGTTTTTGTCATGGTCAATGTTGTGATGTTTTTTTTAATCCACGCTTTCAGTCGTTCTACTTGTTTCTTCGGTAATTGTGGTTTACTGAAGACCTATTTCAAGAAAAAACCTTTTGAACATGGACTAAATTTAAGTAAAATGCTTGTAATATGGCCTTGTTTTAAAAAATTTTAAATTGGTCTACTTTTGATATCTTTGTTATGATATTTTCAAATATTGGTATTTTTGTTTACTTGTCAAGGTTTGTCAAAGTTTGGTGCCTTGAAATATATGTAACTACTAGAGGTGAAAAAATATCGACGATACTATCGATATATCGATGATCTTGTGTTTTCAAAAAATACTGTCGATGTTTTATAACTATCGATACCATCGCCTGTAATGTGAGATCAATTAGTAAATTGTCTCCAAGTGAACAATTTTTCCCAAAAATTATAAAGTAAAATAAAAACAATTTTTCCCCAATTCGTTTTTGTGAACAATTTATTCGCATGGAATTGGCGATAAGGCTAAATAAATAAACTAACTGATTGGATTGGTAATTCTTATATACACATATACATACATATCGCACGCCGTCTTCAAAAGAGTCCCAACTCATAATTTGGCGTTTTTAGATTATGCGCTAAAAATGTACACAGTGCTTTTACCTTTCAGCAAAAGCTGGAGCAAATTTTTGTTATAACTTGTTAAAAAAAAAACCTAAGGCAAAGTCGCCCTGGCCCATATGATGATTATGTGCAAAGAAATAGTTTTTCGCATTTTCTAACAAACGTATTATTTTGAGTTGTGACTCTTTTGAAGACGGTGTGCGATATGTGAGTGACAATCTTGTTTTGCCTAAAAGCGAGAATTGAAAAACCACGTCTTTATTTAAGCGCATTTTCTAATACAAAAAAAATGTTTAATTTCCTCAATTTAAAATTATTTTCCTAAAGAAAGTAAGAAAAATAAATCTATAGCGATTTCTTCTTTCTCTAAAAAAAACATTTAAATCCAGCGGCAATGTAAGAATTTGATGAAACCAATTTGCAACGCGGCTTATAATACTTGGCGTCAAAAGGGAAAAGACAAACTACATAAGGCTCTTACATTGTCATCTTCATCATCATCCGGCACCAAAAGATCTGTTGCACAAACCTTTTGGTGTGATAAAAATTACACGTATATTTACTTCCAAAATACTAGGATCTTATGTTAAAATTATATTGGATATACAATTACATACTTTATATTTATCTTCATCATCATCCGGCACCACAAGATCTGTTGCACAATCCTTTTGGTGTGATAAAAATTACAGGTATATTTACTTTCAAAATATTAAAATCTTGTGTTAAAATTATATTATGTATACAATTACATACTTTTTATTAAAAAACATTTTTTTTACAGTTTCTTTTGAATACTTGTGTTTTACCTTTAGCATGTATCTAAATATGCAGCTTATAGACTCCGAAATCACTCAGCCGATTTTGTTAAAATTTCCAGTATAGCTTCATAGAAACCCGGGGAGTGTTCCTGTGAAGTTTGGCTATTTTTGAAAGTGTTGCCACCTCTCAGAAAAATAACATTTATATAAATATGCAAGTAAAGTATTACGGTATAGATATTAAATGGAAGGTATTTGAGAAAGATATTTAAGAAAATTTACATAAAAAATATTTTAATATAAGTGTTGCCACCTGGTCAATAATTGAAAAATAATGAATATCTAATAAAATTCACATCAAATATTACAATATGGAACGGAAGGTATTGGAGGAACATTTACATATTTTTGAGTAGATTGCCACCTCTTACAAAAAAAATAAGTGACATAAATGTGTGTATTAACAAGTAAGAAAGTCTAAGTTCGGGCGGAGCCGAACATTAAATACCCGGCGCAAGTATTAAATATATGTTTTCCTCCTTTCCGAAAGCTACCGCTACATGATAAGCCGGGGTGTATACATTTTAAGTAAATTAGCATCCTTAAATTTCGAAATATTGAAATTTCAACCATTTCTGAAATTTACCGTTATATGAAAAGCGGCCTCAATTTTAGTCCGATTTCAAAAATTTTCAACGGTTTGCTTTTATGTGGCAAGCACAATAACCATACCGAGCTTGGTACAAATTGCTAGAAATTGCGAAGAAATTGGTGTAGCGGTTACCAAGATATACACATGTAACCATAAGTGGGCGTGGCTACGCCCATTTGCCAAAATTTTGTAATATTCTTATTTTTCGTCTAAAACTCATTGCAAATATCAATTTTGAGTGAATTATCTTCAGTAGTTACTAAAATATCGCAGTTTTCGTTTTTCTGAAAATTACCGTTATATGGGAGGTAGGCGTGGTTATTGTCCGATTTTTAAAATTTTCAGCCATTTACTATGCTGTACTAAGGCTAACAACTGTGCCAAGTTTGGAAGAAATTGGTGCAGCGGTTACCAAGATATACACATGTAACCATAAGTGGGCGTGGCTACGCCCATTTTCCAAAAATTTATAATATTCATGTTTTCCGTCTGAATCTCATTGTAAGTATCAATTTTGAGTGAATTATCTTCAGTAGTTACTAAAATATCGCAGTTTTCGTATTTCTTAAAATTACCGTTATTTGGGAGGTAGGCGTGGTTATTGTCCGATTTCGCCCATTTTTAATACCATCCGTCCTACGCCCAAAAGAAGTTTACATACCAAGTTTCGTTAAGATATCTCAGTTTTTACTCGAGTTATCGTGTGCACAGACGGACGGACAGACAGTCACCGCTTAATCGATTTCTCTTTTCATTCTGATCATTTATGTATACATTTGTCTATATCTATCTCGATCCGTTTTGCCTGTTACAAACAACAGTTATGTGAACAAAGTTATAATACCCTTGTGCACAAGTGCGCTCGGGTATAAAAAGTATTGCGCAGCATACGTATCAAACCAGGTTGCAATTTAAAAACGGAATTTGTTTAATAGTTAAAACCAAAAAAGTGCTCAATATTAATGCATAGCTTTTGTTTCTTATTGAATAAGGCTTTAAAAAGTATAATAAAACAAGCACGTGCAAGCGATCCAAATCAGGAATATTCG